ATGTAAATGCAAGTTGATGAATAAGTGCCAAATATAAGCATATGGGAAGGCTTCCATGTTTTGTCATATGGTCTGTGCTGCTGCATGTTATGCTGGCCACCTGACTGCAGAAATGTCTCCAAACAATGGAGTGATGTCATGCTGGCCATACGACCATGGAAACATCTCCTCAGACAATGCTGGCTTAAGAAATGGAGATGAGCACCATCCCTAAAGTCTGTCATGACTGGTGAGGTCAAACCTGTGGGGACACCTATCTTTAGGGCACAGTACATGCAGGAAGGCAATATTTCAACGAATCACACCAAGGGTCTTCACACTTGGCAAGTTTAAGACTTATGGACTTCAACAGAATTCCTGAGCTATCATGAATGAAGGAGGAATTCTGGGAGTTGAAGCCCACAAATCTTAAAGCTGTCAAGTTTGAAGGCCCACAAATCACAGCATCATGGAGAATTTCCCCTTCTCAGGGTGTCACCAATAACGCATTTGATGGGAACCATACTCCTAAAGTGAAGCTCTGCTAGCTATCCTCACACCACCTGGTTCTGTTTCAGTTCTTTCTTCCTTTTCGTTGCTGCCTCTCAGTTGCTCTCTCTGGGCAGGCAAAGAGTTATCTGAGAGACAGAAAGAGAGAGACAGAGACAGACAGAGACAGAGAATTTGTCATGCAAGAGATGTAGTCACAAAATATATTTTGACAGGTCATGCTATGGGCACCAGACTGGGTGTTTAGCCTCATAAAGAGATGATTAAAGGAAGACAATATAATGTTCTCCAAACATTTTAAGACTTGTAGAGAGTAGAATCATAGAGTCCTAGGGCTGCAAAGAACAGTCCAATTCCCTGCATGACAAACGGCTGTTCAATCTTGTCTTGAAAACTGCTAGCAATGAAGCACCTGCAAGAGGCCAGCTGTTCCATTGGTTAATGGTCACTGTCAAGGAAGTTTTTCCTTAAATCTAGGCTGGATCTCTCTTCAATAATCTTTCACCTGTTATTTCTTGTCCTGACCTCTGGTGCTTTGGAGAATAAATTAACTCCCTCTGTGACAAATATCTTCAAAAATTGGAAGATGCTATCGTACCTCTCCTAAGACTTCTTTGCTGGCCTGTCAGAATCCTCAAATTGCAAATATAAAACGGTCCTTTATGACTTCAGAGAGCAGGATTGAAGGAACCAGTGGCTGGAAATTTCAGAAAGCAGAGGCGAACCAAACCTGGGTAGGAAAATCTCTAATGCTCAGAACTGATTGGCCATATATTTCACGAGAAGAGTACTACACTCCTCTGCTCACAACAGAATACCCTATATTGCCAGGCTTGAGATTTTGGGCTTGGACAACCTTGAACTATGCCGCTTACGGTTGGACTTGTGTAGTACACAAAATTATCTGCTACAATGTCCTACCAGTCAATGACTACTTCAGCTTCAACCACAACACTACAAGAGCACACAACAGATACAAACTCAATGTAAACTGGTCCAAACTTGATTGCAGAAAATACAGCTTCACCTACAGAGTGGTCAATGCCTGGAATGCCCTACCTGACTCTGTTGTTACATGCTCAAACCCCCACTCCTTTAACCTCAAACTATCCACTATTGACCTCACCCCATTCCTAAGAGATCTGTAAGGGGCGTGCATAAGTGCACCATCCTGCCTACCGTGACCATCCCTGTCCTATTGTCCCCATTTATTCGTACCTATTTCCTGTATTCTTACTCATGTTTATACTTATACCTATTATCTTGTAAGCGATTGACAAATCAAATAAATCAAATCAAATAAATAAATAAATGTAACAGTTCTGCTTTAGGAGGTGGCAATATTTAAGCAAAGGCTAAAGAGATAATCTGTCAGGATGTTGTAGATTCCTGAAGTGAGCTAGTGGTTGCATTAAACAATCCCTTCCATTTTTAATGCTGCGTTATATCTTGGCCACAAAACTGAAGATCAATCAATAAATGAATTCATTCATAAAGGGAAGCAGATAAGTGGGAAAACAGAAGGACCGGGGAAGATCACATGTGAAAGCAGGGAGAAATCTTCTAGGACCACAATAGCATGGCGAGTTCTATATCCAATTAGCTCCTATTTTAACATCCAGGTTATGAAACTTATATGATTCTGATTTCCTCATTTCTCCCTTTCTTCTCCAACCCATCAAAAGTACTACCCCCTTCAAGAAATGTTAAAACTTCTATTACAGGTTCAAGACATGGTTTGACTTTCCATTAGATGATAAAAAAACATTAGGTGATCTAGGACAATCCAGGACAAAAATGTCCAAAGGCACCTTCAACGTTCCTATCCATTGGGAAGGGATGCTAATACCTATCCAAATGAAAGCCCTCTCCTTTGCTTGTTCTGTAGAGAAGGTGGCTTCAGCATCTTTTCTGTACAATGAGCTGGACCACATCACAACGCACATTTCAGCCTTGTCTACACAAGCACAGTTGTTAGTACAGGAGAGCTGCCCATACCACTGAACTAGGTAGGTCCACCTGGGTCTTTCTAGCTACAGCAGATTGGAAAAGATCAGAAGTCAAGATGTGTGAGATTCGCCTTAAGAAGAAATGGTAAGGCATTTCATGTTGCCAAATGGGAGCTGTTTTATGCTCAAAGGAGAAGTTCTGAATATTCTCTTAAGCATATGCATTTAATTCTAACATGTTTGGCTCTCATGTTTTTATTAAATTGTGAAGATCTGGCCAATAATATTAATAATTTCATTTGGGGGGATGCCCATGAAAACAAGAATAGCACTAAGATCACAGATGCTTTAGACAGGGAAATTTTTGCTCTCAGAGTTTGCCTCCTTTGGAGCAGTCCATAAGCATTACAAAAAATACAAATAAAGAATCAATCACAGTGCCTGGTTTCTTCCTGACCAATACTGGAGTGAAAGTCTCACAGGTAGAGTAATTCAAGGACACAATAGAGTAGAATATTCTTTATTGGCCAGGTGTAATTGAACAAACAAGATACTTGTATCTGCTGCATCAACTCTCAGTCTACATACAAGGAACAAAATGATAAATTATAGGATCGGATGCAATCATAACTCATAAGATACAACCAACAGACAGGTGATAATCATAAGATCATATGAGGAGGTAATAGGAATGAACAGAAAGATAATAATAATAATACAGTCCAACTACATTGTTAGAGATCCTTAGGCATATTATGTATTTAGCAGAGTGATGGCATGGGGGCAGTGGTGGGATTAAAAAATTTTTTTGTTACCAGTTCTGTTGGTGTGGCTTGGTGGGCGTGGCGTGGCTTGGTGGGCATGGCGTGGTTTGGTGGGCGTGGCAGGGGAAGGATACTGTAAAATCCTCATTTCCTCCCTACTCCTGGGGGAAGGTTACTGCAAAATCCCCATTCTCTCCCCATCCCACTAACCTGCTTTGCAGCTCCGTTCTCCTGTGCAGGGCAACCAAAGAAGACCTAGCCAATCAGCTGGGACTCAATGGGAGGCGGAGAATAGATGGGGCGGGGCCAGTCAGAGGCGGTATTTGACAGTTCTCTGAACTACTCAACATTTCCGCTACCTGTTCTCCAGAACTGGTCAGAACCTGCTGAAAGCTGGAAAGCAGGTTAGTGGCTGGGGAGGGAATGGAGATTTTGCAGTATCCTTCCTCTTCCATGCCCACCAAGCCATGCCAAACCCACAGAACTGGTAGTAAAAAAATTTGAACCCCACTGCTGACCCAAAGGTGCTTTTTCAAGAAGCAGCTGGACTTTCTGCTTTTTGTTTGAAGACATTTCACTCCTCATCCAAGAAGCTTCTTCAGCTCTGGAGAAGCTTCTTGGATGAGAAGCGAAACGTCTTCAAAGAAAAAATAAGGAAGTCCGGTTGCCTCTTGAAAAAAGCACCTTTGGGACAACCGTGACCTGGATGACCGAGACTCTCCAGAGACATTTATATTATGTGAATATCATCATCATCTTCTGCTTCCCTCCAGTGAAGGGAAGAATAAGATTTATATTGCAGGAATGCTGAAAATCGGCGAGAAGAAAGAAATTAAGTAAACGAACACCCCTGAAATTTCCAAAACGCCTTAACTTTTGGTCCACTGACCCTTCTCCGCATCTTTGGGTCTCCAGGCACGCTGGGCTGTAACTCCTAATAGCCGATTGATAGGAGTTATAGTCCAAGAAATGCAGAGCGTTTCTTAATTTTATTTTCCCCTCAGGAAGCCTCCCCACTTTTAAAAATTATGGAGGACCCCAAAGGCCCTGTTCTGTGGGTGGTATTAATCGACCTTTATCCTATTTAAAAATTAAAATTGCCACCACCGCCCCTCACCATTCTGTGATGGGATTTTAACCTTGGACTATGCTTTCAACACAGGCTGGCAAACAGTTTTGGTTTCATGGAGCCTGAAAGGATCTTAGAGGGGGGAGCCCCAGGAATCTTCAGATCACACTTTGAGAAAAAAACAACTGAATTTCAATAAACGAGGGTTTTGTAGTAGTAGCAGTAGTTGTTGTTGTTCAGGGTTGAAATGAAGGATCCTTGGTGTTCTCTGGGCTGGAGGATCTTGCCTTGTTTGGGTAATGAAACGTCTGCAAGAAAACCACCAAGCTCCGGGGGCACCAAGGACCCCTCAAAAACCGATTTAGACGGATCCCAGCTGAGAAGGACTGAGCTGGCTTTCTCCTGCGCAAAAAACTGCAAATATTGCCCACCCAAGCCAAAAAACAAAAACAAAAAGCAGAACTTCTGTTTTATAACCCAAGCTCCACGGAAAGTTGTTTGCGACCCCCACCTCCCTCTTGGCTGACGGCCTCCTCTCCATGCTTGCGAGAATCCTGGTATCCACAAAATAGTATCCGATTACAAAACGGAGGAAAAAAAAGAAAGGAAAAGGTAATACCTCGCCCATTTCAGCTCCCGCGGGTGAGTGGGGAGCGGGGTGGGCCCTGGGAGGGGTTTGGGGAGGAGAAATCCTGTGAAATATGCTAAACCGGGCTCTCTTCCCAGACTCAGTCCAGGAGAAGCGCTCTCGGCCAGCGAATTGCTCTACTCAAAGCTCAAACCTCGATAGGTAAGGCAGCAACGGTTGCAACTCAAAGAGAGCGAACAATTCGGGCAAAAAGAAAAGAGAGTGGAGGAATATCTCTGTGTAGCGTTGGGTTGATGTTTACAGTTGATGCCACTCCTTTCGTTTCTTCCTTCTCCTGATTCTTTCTTTCTTTCTTTCTTTCTTTCTTCCTTTCTTTCTTTCTTTCTTTCTTTCTTTCTTTCTTTCTTTCTTTCTT